CTGTGACTGGAGAGCTGTGCCCTATGACACGGGGCAAGGCCGGCAAGGGCAAAGGCAAGGACAAGAGCGGCAAGGGAAAGAACCACGACGGAAAGGGTAAGAGCAAGAAGGTCTGTTTCTACTGCGCCAAGCCGAACCACACGAAGCAGGAATGCAGGATCTTAGCGAAGGACCGAGCGAGCAAGGACATCAAGCCAGACAAGTCGGGACGCTACGCAGGCAAGCCAGTCGACAAGGTCACAGGCAAGCGCCTCGAGAGCGAGAATGGCGACACAGCGGCGGTGACGGCCCTGTCCGACGATGACTACTACTACGACGAGCAGGATGGCTTCGTGTTCGCGCTGATGGAGGGCGGGAACTCCAACGAGATCGAGACGGGTTACTGCTGCGCCCTCGAGGGCGCCGACTTCGACCTGCTCTTTGACACGTGTGCTGCAAGGAGCGTCTGCCCACCTTCGTGGGCGCCTGAGGTGGCCATCAAGGAGTGCCGTGGGACGGTACTCTACCAGGCCGACGGCAACGAGCTCAAGCACTACGGGAAGAAGGAGGTGAGCATGACGGACCAGAACTCTGGCGAGCCATTGACGGTGAAGTTCGAGGCCAAAGGGGTGCGCAAGCCGATCATGGCGGCGAGTTCTGCAGTTGACGCGGGCTACGGTGTGTGGCTGTACGACGGAGGCAGCTACATCGTGAAGCCCGAGCAGGCGAAGGACTTGGCGAGCCACGTGAAGGACAACATCGGCAAAGGCAAGTCCATCGAGCTGAAGCGGAAGAACGGCATCTTCGTCATCCGAGCTCGTCGGTGCTCGACTGGCGAGCTGTGCCCGACGACGGAGAAGAGCGACGAGCCGAAGGATGTTGGCGGACGGCCCAAGGTGGAGCTCGAGGACAGCGAGGAGGCCAGGAGCGCGACCACCAAGAAGGTAGCGGTCTGGCCGAGCGCAGACGAGAGGGCGAAGCACGAGGTCACTCACTGTCCATTCCGTGCCTGGTGCAGGTACTGCTTGACGGGCCAGGCGACCGAGGATCAGCACAGGAGCCAGGAGTCCGCCTCGACCGTCGCGAAGCTCGCGCTGGACTACTGCTTCCTAGCGCGGGAGGGCGAGCTGCAGAAGGCGACGATACTGGTCATCGTGCTGAGGCATCCAGGTGCTGTTGGAGCCACGCAGGTGCCGAAGAAGGGAGTTGACGACGTTGCAGTGGAGTTCGTACTCTTCCACCTCGAGGCATGGGGTGTTGGAGAAGTCGTCCTGCGGGCGGACCAGGAGCCCGCCATCCAAGCACTTCTAGGCGAGCTACGCCGACGTCGGGTGGAGCATCACCGCACGACAGTCGAGAAGTCCACGAAGCACGACAGCAAGGCGAACGGCATGATCGAGGCTGTGGTGCGCAGAGTGGAGTCACTCACCCGCACGTACGTGGCCGTCATCGAGGAGAAGTTCAAGACCAAGGTGACGAGTCAGTCGGTGATCCTGCCGTGGCTGGTCAGGCATGCGGCCTACGTCCTCACGAGGTTCGCCACGAAGAGCGATGGCAGGAGCGCTTGGGCGACGATCAAGGGCAAGGAGTTCGCGTCGCCCCTGGCGTGTGTGGGCGAGACTGTGGACTTCAAGCTGATCCGCAAGGACCAGTCGAAGCTCGACCCTCGCTGGGCCACAGGAGTGTTCCTCGGGCGGAGGGACGAGAGTGATGAGGTCATCGTGGGCACGGCGCGAGGGATCGAGTTCAGCAGGACGTTCAAGAGGCGTGACGACAGCGAGCGGTGGGTCCAGGAGGAGTTCAGGACGTTCATCGGTGTGCCCTGGAACCCGAGAGCGCCTACGACGGAGACACCGGTGGTGAGTACGAGGAGGAGATACATCACGCGTGCCCTGATCCAGGAGCACGGCGAGAGCCCAGATTGCCCAGCTTGCCTGGGGCTGTCCAGCGTGCACACGGTGGCGTGCAGGGCTCGGTTCGAGGAGATCTTCAAGGCGCAGGCTGAGCAGGCGATCCAGCTGCAGCCAGCTGTGGGTGCCGCAGGCGCCGAGGCTGCGAGGCCAGTACCACAACAGGCAGCTCCAGCACCGCAGCAGGAGATAAGTCCACCTCCAGGACTACAACTGCCAGCAGCTGCAGCACCGAAGAGAGAGAGAGATGCCGAAGCAGCCGAACCAGCAAGAAAGAGGCCAGTGATCGAGGTGGTTCCCACTGCGCCCATGGACACCGACCCAGTCAGTGAACCCATGACTCTAGGAGCCCTCTGCGAGGAGGAGGTCCCACCTCCAACCTTCGACGGGGAGCTGTTCGCGGGGAGCTTCCACGACCAGTTCACGGGCGAGGTGCTGCCGAAGGAACTGGTGCTGCAGGGCGTGAAGCGCGAGCTCGACGAGATGGACGAGTTCGAGGTGATGGTCTGGAAGAAGCGCAGCGAGAAGCCAGCTGGTGAGAGGGTGATCTCCACCAAGCTCTTCCACACCAGGAAGGGTCCAGACTGTGTGCGATCGCGGATCGTCGCGCGCGACTTCGCAGGAGGCGTCTTTGCACCAGAGCACTACGCGGGGACACCACCGACATGGGCGCTGAAGCTGGTGATCTCGAGGTTGGCGTCAAGAGGCAGCTCGAGGCAGCTCGCAGCCCACGACATCTCGGTGGCCTTCTTCCACGCTGAGCTGAAGGAGCCCGTGTGGGCCGAGCCTCCGAAGGAGCTGAACTGCCCCGACTGGCTCTGGCTGGTGAGTAAGGCGCTGTACGGGATGCGTGAGTCGAGCGCTGACTTCCAGCAGCTGGTGCGTGACACGTACCGAGAGCATGGCTGGAACATCTTGTCGACGGTCCCCTGCTTGGCGTACCACAGCGAGTGGGACTGCCTGTCAGGCTTCCACGGGGATGACTTCTACACCGAGGGCGAGCCGCGCGAGCTGGACAAGGTGGACGCAATGATCATGGGCAGCTTCAAGGCCAAGATCCTCCCGAGAGTTGGTCCAGCCGCTGAAGAGCAAGGCCTGGTTCTACGACGGCTTCTACTTTGGAGCGCGAAGGGGTTCATGCTGCTGCCTGACCCGAAGCACTTCGAGAACCTGAGCACGTTGCTGGACCTGAAGAACGTGAAGCCTTCCCCGACGCCTGTCAGCCGAGCGACTGGCAAGAACGCGAGGGATGCTCTGGAGGAGCTGAAGCGGGCCGAGAAGGCGATCTACTGCAGGGGCACGGGCATCTGCATGTACATCGGCCCAGACCGCTTCGACATCCAGTTCGCCACCAAGCAGCTGGCGTCGGATATGGCACATCCGACGCGCCTGAGCATGATGCGACTCAGGAGGTTGGCACGCTACCTCGCGGGGACGCATGACGTCGGGATCGAGTTCCTCTACCAGGAGAAGTGGACGGATGTGGTGGTCTACTCCGACGGCGACTGGAGCGGCGACGTACAGACATGCAAGAGCACGTCGGCGGGGACCATCCAGGTCGGAGATCCTGGCGCTGGTCATCTCATCGAGAGCTGGAGCATCACGCAGGGCGCTGTTGCACTCAGCAGCGCAGAGTCGGAGTTCTACGCCATCGGCTCAGCGGCAGCGCGCGGCATCACGGTCAAGCAGGTGATGCTCGAGATCGCTGAGCTTGGAGCTGGTGTTCCAGCAGACGTGAGGCTGATCATTCGCACGGACTCAGACGCGGCCCGTGGGATGATCCACAGAGTGGGCTGCGGGCGTGTACGGCATCTACAGACCAGGTACCTTTGGCACCAGCAGGCGCTGAGGGAGAAGCAGTTCGAGGTTGAGAGAGTGGACGGCAAGAAGAACCCGAGTGATGCAGGCACGAAGCCGCTGGAGCAGGAGGCGCTGCAGACCTGCATGAGGAACCTCGGGATCGTGAGCAGGAAGATCGCTGGCTTCGGGACGGACGAGGCCAGCCAGGTGTTGGCGACGCTGCTACTGTTCGCAGCGGCGCAGACCGCCGACGGGACGGTCGTGGAGCCCACCTGCTCGGCAGGCGGGAGCGAGTCACAGGGCGGTGGCATGCAGTTCACCGCGTTCATGATGGTCATCCTGACCCTCATTGGGATTGTGACGGGCGTGCTCATCGAGAGGCACGTGCTGAAGGAGCGCCGTGAGGAGCGCCGTGAGGTGACCGTATGCCTTCGAGACACAGGCGTGCAGGTGGAGCCAGCACCCAAGCGCTGCGAGGACAAGGGCAGTCAGGGCCCTTGCACGTATGCGAGGCATCGTTCTCAGCATCGGTTCGTACCCCTGCCAGAAGTGTCGTGGGGTTGAGAGGGTCCCGCAGGCGACGAAGGTAGCTGGCGCGAGGCTGTAGGCCACAGCCCGCTTTAGTGACAGCTGCAGGCAGCAACAGAGGCAAAGACCGGTACAACGCGTTTGGTTTTAATGTGCTCTGGCGGAGCGTATCCAGAGTACACTTTTCGCTTCAGCGTCGATCGGACTGATCACCCGATGATGCGCTGGAGCCACGAGTTCGAGCTACGGGCGGGTGCAAGTTGCTAAGGCCAGCTTGCACCCTCGAGGGTGCCGCGCTGAGGAGGCGTGCGGACATCCATGCAACATGCACGCGATTGTGAGTTGAAGTACTGTAGCCACTTGGGGCTTAAGAACATGCCATCCATCCATAGCAGCAGAGGGAGAGGAAAATGAGGAGGAATATAGGAGGAGGAGGAGGAGGAGGAGGACGACGACGACGACGAGGACGAGGACGAGCAGGAGAAGAAGGAGGAGGAGGAGGAGAGAACGAGAGGAAGAGAGGAAGAGAGGAAGAGAGGAAGAGGAAGAGGAGGCGGAGGAGGAGGAGCAGCAGCAGGGGGGAGGAGGGAAGAGGAGGAGGAGGCGGAGGAGGAGGAGCTGCAGCAGGGGGGAGGAGGAGGAGGAGAAGGAGGAGGAGGAGGAGGAGGAGGAGGAAGAAAAAAATAAAGGAAAGGAAAGGGAGGATGAGGTGCTCGCCGCGGCAACCGCGAGGTGGCCGTGCCGCAAGGGCCCGCCAAGCGACCGCACTGCACCCCCCCCCAGGCACAAAAGGAGCGCCTGTGGAACCTGGAGGAGTTCGCGTCCGGGGAGTCCCGCGTCCTTGTGGCCACCGACGTCTGCAGGGGCTCGCCAGGAAGGAGAGGGGCCCCGAGGGTTCGAGGGTTGAGGCTTCGAACGAAGCGTCTAGACGTTTTTCCTCCCTTTGTGAAGCTCCGCCCAGTTCCTCGCCGTCGTGGTTGGGTCCGCCCCGAAATTCTGGTCGGAATGGGCCCCTGGACAGGTCAGGGGTCACGTTTCATAGCATGAGTTTGGTTATCAGGTCGGCATGTGCGGTGTTCCCGGTTCGCTCAGCGACGTTCTGTATCGAGATGTGATAGGGTCACCAGTGATGTCTTGCGGGGGGAAAGAAAAAGTGGCCCGAATTTCCAGGGCCAGAATGGGAAGAAAGGGGTCTTGCGTGAAAGGGGTCATGAGGCTTGTCCGCCGCTCTTGGGTTCTCCCTGGACCCTCCCGCGCATCTCTTTCCTTCATGCCAGCTTCTCTTCCGAGGCTCTGGCGCTGCCGGAAGAAGAGCTCATTGTCACAACATGCGCTCGAGGTTCGACGGACGTCACGGTTCAAGGAGGAGGGATCGGGATTTTGGCAATTATTGAGATTTATTCAATCACTTCGCTCATTCCGCCGGATCATATTGTAGCATCGTTGGCACTTGCTTGCGTGCTTGGGGGGACATTTGGGGGGCCTCCTGGGGCCGCTTGGGGGCCTCTTGGGGGGCCCCGTGGGGGCATCTTAGGGCCTCTTGGGGGCCTCTTGGGGGGCCTCTTGGGAGCTTTTCGGGGACTCTTGCGCGCTCCTGAGGGCCTCTCGCCGAGGGCTCGAAATATCCGTGCGGGTCTCCCGTCTGGAACCCTTCTTGGAGCCGTCTTGGGGGCCTTTTGGGCTGTCTTGGAGGCCTCTTGTGTGCTCTTGGCGGCCTCGCGGCCCTTCTTGGGGCTCTCTGGAGGGCCTCCAGGGCGGCGCCCAGGAGGAAAACCGCCCGGGACCTTGCCGGGGTCGTCCGGGGACCCCTAGGGGCCGCCCCGCGCGCGCCAGCTAGAAATATTGTTAACCATTTACCAGCGATCTTAGCACTCCTTTGGCCCGTTGGGCCGGCGAATTTTGCTTCCTAGGTGCTCCAGAGGACCCAGGCGGACTCTTGAGTCGGCGGTGAATCCACCTGGCGGCGACTCCAGCGCCGCCCCTGGCGCGCCCCCTGCGCCAGGGGAAGCGGTCCAGCGCCCGGCGAGGGCCCCCACACGCCGACAACAGCGACCAAGTTCCCCTCATGATTTCTGGCGGGCTGCCCAATGGATTTTCCGGTGTTGCCGGGTTCGGGTTGCCGGGCCGCGCTTCTGGCAACCGCGCAGCTTGGCTGGGTCGCGCGGCGCGACGCGATGGCAGGAGTGCCGCCTGCCCCCGTGGTCACGCGGCACGCGGCGGCGCGGGGCCCTTGACGCCCTCTCCGGCCGGCTGCTGGAACCCATTCGTGGGCGCGCGGGTCGGCGAGGCCGCTCATCCAGGGCTTGTCCCGGGCGCCGAGCTCCTGGAGGCCATGGTGGCTGTGGGTGTCGCCGAAGGGCCCGTGGGAGAGGCCCGAGTGGCCCTGGGCTTCGCCGAGGGGCCAGCGGGAGCCGCTGCGGGCTTCGCCACCCTTCCCAGCGAGCACGAGGGGGGTGGGCCTGGGACCCCTGGTGGCCAGGTGTTTCTGCCCCCGGAGTTCGCGGGGACGTACATTGAGGCGCTCGACACGGAGCTCACGGCGGCTGGGGGCAGCCTGGTTGCTGGGTTCACGTTCAAAAGCACGGCGCGGCTGCTGGGCGCCCCAGAGGCCTGCGCGGCGGTGCCGCCCGAGTGCACGGGGGTTGAGTCGGCGAAGTGCCGGGTGGAGCCGCCTGGCCCTTCTGGGAAAGTGTTCGGAGTCCGCATCGCGGGCGATGATCTGGAAGGGCACTTCCGCGCTGCTGCGGAGGCGACAGCGGCCACTTGCAACGCGCTGGAGCACTTGGAGGACACCCCAGCTAAGCTCGCCCTCCTCCACATGAGCGTGAATGTCTGCCGCGTTATGCACTTGCTGCGGGTTGCTGGTCCCGAGATCCCAGAGGCGGCTGCCGTCGACTTCGACAAGCGCCAGGTGCGCGCGTTGGCGGTGCCACTCGGGGGGCAGCTCCTTTCGGCGTGCCTGGAGCAGGCGGCCTGCGGTGCTGGAGACGGCGGCCTGGGCCTCCGCCGCGCGGCTGACACCAGATTCCCCGCATTCTTGGCCAGCCGCACGGAGGCGCGGCCGCTGGCTGAGGAGCTCTGCAAGACGTTGCCGACCCAGTGGCGCGAGGTCCTCTTTGCGGAGTGGGATGCCCCCACTTCTGCCGCAGAGCAGTCGCGGCATGCGCAGCTCCTGGCCGACCGGCGGGGATTTGCCGCGCAGGTCCTTGCGGAGGGCGCTGCGGAGGCAGCCCGCGTCGCAGAGCAGTTGGCGGGGCGCCTGCAGCCCCGCCGGCCAGTGCCGGATTTGGCTGCCACCGTCCAGGCTGGGATCGTGGCCCCCAGCGGCCTCGACGACCTGGAACACGCTGACGCGGCGGCGCGGGGCGGCCTGCAGGACCTGGTGGCGGGCGCCCGCCTGGATGGCATCTGCGCCGACTTCCAGCGCCAGGAGGTCTGGCCCAGGCTGCACTTGCTCGACGACCTCCGAGATCCGGACACGGATCATTCCTGGATGTGGGTCCTAAGTTCTGCCGCTGGGGGCCATGTCCGGGCGGATGAGTTCGTCGTGGCCATCCGCTTGCGGCTCGAGGCGCTGGCCCTGGAAGCGCCGGCCACGCGCGCCTGCTGCGGGGGCGAGCTCGACCACGAGGGCCGCCATGTTTTGCGGCGCGCGGCAGGGGCGAGCACCCGCGGTCACAACGAGGTCCGCGACACTTCCCTCGGACTTGCCAGCCTGTCCGACAACGCCGCCGCCGGCGAGGTTACGGGCTCAGTCCCGTCGCATCCAACTCTCCGCCCTGCTGGCGGTTTAATGTCGGCGGTTTTTGTCCGCCGCCGGCCTTGGACGCGGGCGTGGATTGTCTTGATTCGTCGGGCTGCGGGGCGGGCGCTTGAGCCGCAATGGTGGCGGAGAACATCGATGGGCAAGTGCGCCGACGTGCTCCCCGAGCTCGCGGACGAGGGCATCGAGCACCGCCCCCTGATCTGGAGTTGTTGGGGCCGGCCCCACAGCGACGCGACTGCCGCCGCGGGGCCCATGGCCGCGGCAGCCTCGCGCCGGCGCGGCGCGGCAACGCCCGGTGTCCTTGCCCGTCGGGCCAAGGCATTGGGTGGGCGCCCAGTTCTGGCGTCGGACGGCTGCCATGGTGTCGGCCTGCTTGCCGACGGCCCACCTGGGAGACGACTCGGACCTCATCCTGGCGGCCCGTGATCGCTGGTTGCAGGAGCTGGGGTTCGGCAGCGCGACTGGAGCCAACGAGGCGCCGGCGGCGCGGCCTGGCGGCCCGGCGGGCGCGGATTAATTTGCTGGCGCGGACGGGGCGGATGGCCGCGCTAGACACGACGCGGCGCCGGCCAGGCCCGGGTGGCCAGCCCAACCGCCGCCGCGGGGCCCGCAGGCGCCCTCGGCCTAGGCGATGCGGGAAGCAGAGCGGCGCTTGCTCGCTTGGGTCGCGCAGGCGTTGCCGCGGGCGCTGCGGGCGGCGCCGCGGGCGTCGCCGGGCTCGCGGCCGCCTTCGAGGCGCTGGGAGGCGCGGCTGGGCCCACAGGGGCGAGGCGGCGCCGGCTGGAAGTGGAGGCGACGCGGCGCCAGGCGTCGGGGTGGCCGGCGGGGGTGGATCGATTGTTGGCCTGGGTGTCGCGGCGGAGGAGGCCGCTGCTGGGCGCGCACTAGCCCCTTTCCGGCCCTGCACACAGCCCTGCGGTTAGCGCACGGGCGTGGACCTGGGCGGCTGCCAGCTTGGGCGGTGCGGGCGCTGGCCAGCCGAGGGCGGCGGCGCTGGCGGGGCGGGCGCGCGCGCGGCGGCGGGAACGACGTGGCCACGCTCGCCCTGTCGCACCTAAAAACAAAGTTCACGACGCGAGGGGGCCAGGATCGTCAGCCTAGTTTGCCCGAGACGCATGGCCCAGGCAGAGATTCAGAGGCCGAGAATATCGAAGATCCTTCCGCTGTGCTTTTGACGACGCGGGGAGGCTTGGGTTTCTTTCTCTGTCTGGCGTGCGGGGGGGGGGGGGGGACCTGCGGCCGGCGGGGCTGTCCACGCGCGCTGGCTGCCGACAGGTCCTCGGGCGCGGGCTGGACATTCCGCAGGTGACCCACGTGTTCATCTACGACTTCCCGCATTCCGTGGAAGAGCGCGCCCCCTCCTTGACATCCCCAGAACTCCGCGCGTCGCGAAAACCTGACGATGGAAGGTCCGTATATGTTTTCAGCCCCGGGGGGGCTCTTGCCGGGCCCGGGGACCGTCAGACACGACTCGGAATGCAAAGCGAGCCCCAGGGAAGGGTCTAGACCTCGGGGGGCCCACGTCGCAAAAAATCCGACGTCGGAGGTTTGGGTCTGGCGCCACGCGTCGTCCGAGGCTAGAGGTTTCCGGGGGTCTGCGCAGATTCCTGCAGGTTTTCCAGCCTTGATTTGCGTTGCAGCAGCTGCGCCTCGACGAGGACGTTCCGGGGTTACCCAGAGCTTTCCGAGCGGCCGCCGGGGACTCGAGCTTCGACCCAGAAACTCAGAATCCGGCATTTCGGCAAAATGTAGGCGGCCAGTTTGTTGTTGGCTTCTGAAGGGCGGTTTCGAACTTCGGAACCGCCCAAAAACGGCACAGGATGAACAACCGCCCTTGAGGATGAGATCGAGAGGTCCCATGCCAAGAAAGAAGCGTTGGTGTCTCGGTCCGCTTGTCACCACGAAGAGAAGGATCCTGAGAAAATGGGCTTGGAGGTTTTTCATTGCGTTCGGCTCCCCAGGCCCTCCACGGGACCCAGGATCGCCAGGAAACGATCCAGAACGAATGAGTTGGTCCTGGCGAAATCCCTTGGGTCCAGGACCCGCTCCCTCGGGGCCCACTTTGCCCTCTCGCCGATTGGAATTAGCCTTCGGGGCTGCCCCAAGTTCACATGTTTGTTCTTTCCTCCTCCTCCTCGTCATCATGTTCATCATCATCATCATCATCATCATCATCATCATCATCATCATCATCATCATCATCATCATCATCATCATCATCATCATCATCATCATCATCATCATCATCATCCCCAGACCTGCGACGCCCTGATTTGTTCACAGCGTGAACCCCCAGAGGTCTGCACCATTTCGCAGGACTTGCTTTGCATCCTAAGTCGATATTTGACGATCCAGGGGCCAGGTAAGGGCGCCAAGAGGCCGAAAATGGCGGCACGTGTTCCGTCGTGGTGTATCCGTGACGCGAGGAGGTCAGGGTCGTCTTCATCCTCATCTTCCGTTTCCTCCTACTCTTCCTCCTCCACGGTTGTTCGCGTCGTATCTATTGATCCAATTTGCGGCTGAAGGCTCAGGCCGGCCAATCTTTGAGAGTTGGGAGCTGGGTGGTCGATTTTGCCAGGGGGGGCCATCGCCGAGAGGAGGACGGGGAGGAGGGGAGAAGGAGAAGGAGAGGCAGGAGGAAGGGGAAGAAGAGATTTGAGAGGAGGGGAAGGAGAAGGAGGAAGGGGGAGATGAGGGGGAGGAGTCGAAGGAGGCGGGGGAAGAAGAGCAGAAAGAGGAGGAAGAAGAATGCAGGAGCAGTAGCAAATAGCAAGAAGAGTACGACGGGCAGGGAGCGAGTTCGTACCCGCCAGCGGTGCATGAGCAGGAGCAGGAAGGAGGGGCGCCGCGGAGCGCCGTGCCGCAGGTACGCGCACCGCATCGGCCGTACCGCGCGCGGCGTGGACGGCCGCGGCGATGCCGTCGCTTTCTTCGAGTTCGTGCCGTCGTTGCCCGACTTGGCGACCGAGCTGATCGGCGGGCGCCTTGAGATACCTCTTCTGGGAGCAGGAGATTAGATGAGGAGATTGGATGAGGAGGGGGATAAGGAGGTGAAGATCAGAGGAGGAGATTAGGGGAGATTGGAGGAGGAGGGAGGAGACGAGACGAGACAATCCCATAGGATCCACCACTGTCTGAACGAGCCAACAGCTTTGCACTGGAGTCTGGGAGTGGGTAGCTTCGACCCTCACGAAAATTATCGAATTGAGTTTGCAGCTCACATTCCTCAATTGATGCACGGGCCTGTCGGCAGCTCCGAGGCACGCGACCTCGAGCGAGGGCCGACTCGAAGGGCGCGGGAGACAGCCACGAGTAAGTTGCTTTGCTCTCATTGCTAGCTCTCGTTGGTTGGAGCTCGTCCCCTCCCTCGCCCACGACTCGCCGCCCTCCCCCATCCCACGACCAGAGCCTCTACGAGGCAGCACTACCGGTGGAATATCAGGTAGCTCAGGCTGCACTGACGATTACACGCCGCGCTCACTCGCTGGTGCCCGTGCTGCTACTTCTAACGAAATCAGACCACGCTGCACTAACGAAAGATGCCGCTGCCGTTCGCCTGGAAACCCTAATCGGAGCGAACAGGACGGGAGGAGGAGGAGGAAGAGGAGGAGGAGGAGGAGGAGGAGGATGCGTCCGGAGGGAGGAGGAGGAGGAAGAGGAGGAGGAGCGAGTCGGGAGGGAGGGGGGGGGAGAAGGACGAGAAGGAGAGAGGGCATTGGGAGAAAGATGAGAACAAGAGCGGGCAGGAGGGCCGAGGCAGCCGCAGAACCATGGCCGTGGATCGCCCCCGAGTCCCCGCATGCCCTGAGTTCTCCCGTTGCGCTGCCGCCCACATCAGCCACCGAAGTCAGGCAGCACCGCTGCAGCCTGGCATGGCAACATCGTGGCATGCTCGCTGCGGCGTGAGGTGTTCTAGGAGGGGCCCCGCCCGCCTTCCAGGGATCGAAGAGTCGAGGAGTTGATCCTCCTTGCCCGGTAGAGAGACGGGGGTGGCTCTGCTGGCGGAAACCGGCGGGATCAGAATTGCGCCCCCAAGACTGACATTTTTGGGGGGGGGGGGAGTTCAGGGATTCCAGGGCGCGCCTGTGCACCCACAGGTCCGGCGTTTCTGTGTCTTCGAGGCGCGAACCCCCAGAGGCCTCGACCCCTTCTCCAGGGCCAGCTGTTCGTCCCGAGCAGTGTTTCACGGCCTTTGAGGACCAGAGCCAGCTACCAGAGGCCAAGCAGGACGACAGACCGATCGCCGCGAACTTCTCGAAAGCACCAGACATTCGGGAAGGAGGGAGAAGCGCAGGTGTCGAAGGAATTGTCGCAGGGCTGCGCGGATGTCGCTGCGCGCTAGGGAAGGCGCTGGAGGCGCCGCCAGGGGTGTCCAGCATCGACCCAAGAAATCCGCGCAGACGTCCGAACGATTGTGCTGTTGCCGACGTTTCGGACCCAGGCATCCGACGCCTTGATTTTCTATACAGTCGGACCGAGGTCTAAGGTCGAGGTCGGTTCGGGGAGGGTACCCTAATGTTCCGAGTGCTTATTGTATGTTCCTGGGCAACCTGGGCGAGAATACCTTCGAATGTTCTTCAGTTTGGCCGGCGGAGGGTCTCCTGCTCTTGAAGGAGGTTCTTCTGTCCTAGGTTTGGCCGTACGGCGTCCCCAGAAGTCCCGCCCCTTTCCTCGGGGCAAGTTTTTCATGCCATGTCGCTTCTTGACGTTCCTGGGGCCCAGCGAGGGCCTCCAGAGGCCGAAAATGGCCACAAGCTCGGGAGCCTTGAGACGGGGGGTCCATGCAAACGGGTTCAGCTAGGGCGCCTGATCTTGCAGGATCCTGCAGGGCCAGGGTTGCATTGTCTCGGGCTTGCGTGCAGTATCCTGAAAGGCCTGACTGACCCGGGTTTGGATCGCTGGATTGGCCCGGGTCAGTATATCCCCGACAAGCGTCCCGTCGTGACTTTTTTCACGACGCGAGCATGTCTTGGAGGAGCAGCAGCAGCAGCAGCAGGGCCGCAATAGCCCGCCCAGCCCAGAACCATACAGATTTGCGATCGGGGCCCGATTGCCGACTCATCGATGGTAGATCGCCGATTCCAGGTCAATGGTCTCCCCCTTGGGCCAGTCCCTCCCGTCGCTCCCCCTCGGAGCAGCAGCAGGAGGAGATGAGAGCCCGCGGCGCCCGCAGACTCCCTGGAAGCCGCCGAGCAGCCCGTGCCCGGCGAGCTGCGCCAGCTCGCGGCGGACGTGGCGTCCGGCGCCTTGGCGAGGCCCGGATCGCCACCAGGATTAGGTCGGGCCTATCCCCCTGCAGGGGGGGGTTTGACGAAAAATGATTCATACCCCAGAGAAGTTTAGAAATAGTTTAATACTATATTTGTTTTTTTACGTCCCCAGACTATTTTTGACTATTTGGGGAGTATCCCCCCTGTACAGGAACAGGCCCGACTTAACACCAGGAAGCTGACGGCCCAGAGATCCGACGCTCCCAAAAAGTTGGAGCGGCGGAAGCTTGGCCGTTTGCGGCCTCCGGGGGCCCTCGCCAGGCCTCGGGAGCGTCGACGAACGGCTGTGGACGAAAGACCGGTCCTGGGGAAGTGGTCGGGGCCTCCGGGGCCCGCGCGTCCACGGGATTGGAGCGGCCGGATGTCTGGGGAGGGGGAGCTGGATGGTGGGCCGGCCAAGACCACATCGGCCCTCCCTGGCGTTTGTCGCGTTTTGGGGGGCCTCCTGGAGACTTCTCGTCGCCGGGGCCGGATCCGCCCTCAAGAACATGTCAGGAGGGGCCCCGGGAGGGGTATGGGGACCGATTTCGAACGGGTTTGGAAGTGGAGGTGTTCAGACGTTTCATCGATTCTTGGAGGTTTTCCGGCCGCAGGATGATTTCCAGCAGTTGCGCCTCGCTGACGGCGTTCCGGGGGTGCCCGAATCGTCTCGAACCGCCACTGGAGGCCCGAGATGTGGCCCGAAAACCAAGCCTCCTCGCGTCGTGAACAAAAAAGTACGACGGAAGGTTTTCAACAATTTTTGGCCCTCATTGAGCCCTGGGGCCGTCAAAACAGTTTGGGATGCAAACCCGGTCTCCAGGTAGGGGATGGGACCTCACGTGGTTCACATGAGAGTTGTGGTGTCCAAAACCCGGATAGCGGCGCGACCGAAGTTTCGGGAAGGTCCTTCGAATGAACTCTGCAAGGTTCGGGAAGGAGTTTTTGGAAAGCTCGGCGGCACACGCATTGGGAAACAGCTAGAAGAGGCCTTCCGGGACACGTCTCCAGGTATAGGGGAACAAAAAGTGACATAAACATAAAAACTCGGAGGTCCGCGCGGATTTCTCGGATCGCGCTGGACCCCCCTCCCTGGCGCGCGGAGGCGGCGGCGCCAGAGGCGCCGCCAGGGGGGTCCAGCGCGGATCCGAGAAATCCGCGCGGGCCTCCGAGTTTTTATGTTTATGTCACTTATTGTTCCCCTCAGGGGTTCCCCTGAGAGCCTCCAGGGGCTGGGACCCTCCAGGGGTTCCCCTAAGGGGTTCCCCTAAGGGGTTCCCCAGGGGTTCCCCTAAGGGGCTGGGACCCTCCAGGGGTTCCCCTGAGAGCCACGCCGTCGGAGGTCCGGGTGCGAGCCAGAGGTGCGCGCGTGGCCCTCGCGCCGTGGCAGCGCGCGGGCTTCCCTGCGGCCGCCGTCTGCGCGCGTGCCCCGCGCGTTGGCCTGCAGGTGCTCCACCCGTGAGTCGCTTCGCCTGGCATCGCTCGGACGTGTGCATTTTTTCCTCGGCGAGAACCATCGAGGACCACCCTGGACCATCGAGCAAAAAAAAGCACGCACGAAACCGAGAAATGCACGCGAAATGGGCGTCCGAGCGATGGCAAGTTCATGTGTGCTTCCCGTTTCCTGAAACGTCGTCTTTGCACGCCGTCTCCCGTCGTCGTCCTCGCCGTCGTCATACAGGTCCTATGTCGTACATCGTGCATCGGCGCACGTCGTCCCAAGGCGTCGTCGTCGTACTTCGTTCGTCACCGTTGCAATTCGTCACACGTCGTCGCACGCCGCTGCCGCGTAGTACTCCCTACGTCGTCGCTCGTCGTGCGTCGTCGTATGTGGCCGCCGTCGTCCGTCCTCTTCCGCCGCTGTTGTCGTGCGTCGTCGTACATCGTCGTCGCACCTGGGATACGTCCTGGTACGTTGTACATACAAGGCGTTGAACATTACGAGCCGCCCCGGGTTCGGGAGGGACGCTGGTCTTCGGGCCGCTCCTCAGATCTAATGTAGGTTTAAGTCGGGCATGTCCATCTACAGGAGGGAAAATCAGTTCATACATTACACATATCCACCTCCTAGTCAATCAATGTAGTCCCGACAGGAGGGAGAACCGTAATTGAATTCGTTTACAATTGACAGAAAATAGTCTGGGGACCGTTCTTTTAACCATTTTTGGGCGTGTGGGGAGTATGTTTCGAGTATGTGTTATTTTCCGGCCCACTTCCGCCTGTGGGGGGACAGGCCCGACTCAAATCTAGGTCGGAGAATCCTTTTTTGGGCCAGGGCTTACCGTGGCCAATCAAGCTCCTTCCTCATCTGAGCGACGCAGGAAAACGGAGCCGTCTTCACCGACATTGGCGCGCAAGCGTAAGCGCCCTCGTCTCCAACGTAGCGTGCCGTGCTGGCGGCCTGTGTAAACCACCGCGTAAGGTCGCCATGTCATCTCGTGTAAGACCCGTTTCGTTTCGTCCCTTATCTGGTATTCTTCACGGGAGTCGTTGTCGTCCTGTCCTCCGACGCGCCGCATTCGGCGCCAGTGCGCGCCCGCCAGCGTCGGCGGCGCTGGACGCGCCGCGCGCCAGCGGGGGGAGCAGACGGTCTAGGTGCGTCGTCGTTGTCGCGCCATCGTCTTCCGTCGTGCGTCATCGCACGTGGTCGCCGTCGTCCGTCGTCTTCCGCCGCCGTCGTGATACGTCGTCGTACATCCTCGACGGCTGCCGCTTCCCCCCGATTGGCCACTAGCTTGCCGCGGGGTCCAGGAGGGAGGGGGGGGGGCGGCAGGAGTCGAAGAATGCAAATTTGCGCAAAGCTAAATGTTTGCAGTTCCGCGCGGATTTCTTGGATGAGAAATGGACCTCCCTTGGCGGCGCCTCTGGCGCCGCCGCTGTCGCGCGACGCCGATCCAGGAAATCCGCACCATCCTCCAAATCAAGAATTTATGCCGATGCAGATTGCGAAGGCCTTACGGCCGGTGCCGCCGACCCTGAAGGCGGGACCTCCCTTGGGACCCCCGCTGGCGATCCCCGCTCCCGGGACCCTTTGGACGGGCGACGACGACAACGACGACGACGACGACAGCGTCTTCCACACGCCGAAGGGTCGGCGGATTTTTCTTCTTCGATTCCTGCCGCTTCCCCCTCGCCGTCCCTTCGGCGCCGCCCCGCACTGAACGAAGTTGGCCTCCTCGTCCTCCTCCTCCTCCTCCTACTCCTCCCTCCTCGTCCTCCTCGGCGTCGTCCTCCTCATCGGCGTCGTCCTCCTCCTCCTCCTCCTCCTCTTACTCCTCCTCCTCCTCCTCCTCCTCCTCCTCCTCCTCCTCCTCCTCTCCTTCCCCGACGTCTGGCGCCTCGGAAAAATCGAGGCGGTCGGTGCGTTGTCATGTCTAGCTAAAGCCGGCTCTTCACCGCGCCAGGGAGGAGGCCCAGCGCCGACCCAAGAAATCCGTTCGGGCGTTCGAAAGTTTACGTTCCAGTGGGGCCTGTCCCTGTACTCCAGTGGAAAGCCGAGGAATTCTCAAGAATAGTCCAAAGATAGTATATGGGGGAGATTTCACGACTATGTTTGACCATTTGGGGGGCATTGTCTGGCTCTTGTTGCGTTTCGTCCAAAGTCCCCCTGTAGGGGGACACGCCCGACTTGAGCTTACGTTCATGTTGTTGTCGGTGTCATACGCGCTTCTCTCTCGCTCTCTCTCTTTCTCTAGCTCTCTCTCTCTCCCTTTCTCTCTCTCTCTCTCTCTCTTTCCCTGCTGCTGCTGATCGAAGTTGCGATGCCCGGGCATTAGCAGAAGCGCCCGTCCCAGCCCAAGCGGAGAGAGCCAGAGAACCACAACAGCGCGAGCCGCGCTCTCAGTGGGATGCGCGAGATCATTCCGCGTCGAACTATGTGGGCCAGAGCTCTGTAGTTTGCCCACAGCTCGACTCGAGTTGGGAGAGCCAGCAGCACCTGCCAAAAGGAGCCTCGGAGTCTCCACCCGCCTGTGCTTTTGTTCCCCCATCAGTGCCAAAACTGAAGGGGCCCGAGCGGAAGTGGAAAGATTCGGCGAAAGTTTCCCGCCGAGTTTGGTAGCAGGCTGGGTTCTTGGGCTCCCGGTTCCGGGTTCCTGGGCTCCCTGTTATTGGTTCCGGGCCGATCTCGGTGGGTTCTGGGTTCCCGGCGACTCCCGGGCTCCGGGCCGATCTCCCCAGCGAAAACCATCCATTGCTTGGGGGGTTCTTCTTCTTTTTTTTTATTTAAAAAAAACAAAAAAAAAATGCTTGGGGGGTTCTTCTCTGGTGTAATGATTGGTCGCATCCATCCCGCACGTGTCTCCGAAGGGAAGGCCGCGTGCAAACGGCCGAGCGTGCCAGCACCCGCCTGGGCCCCGCCCGGCGTGGCTCCCGCGCCGCCGCGGGCGGAGCCCGACGGCCGCCCCCGCGCTCGTCTTCCCTGTGGGGGCGCCTCTACACTCCAGGCGATGCTTAAGAAAACCCAAGTTTTCGGCCAGAGTCTCGATTATTCTTAACGTTTCAGTGTAAATCCCAAGATTTTGATAGAAGTTCTGGGTTTTATTCAATTTCTGAGACTATGAATTTCTTAACCCATGATTTCTTAAGCATTTCGCAGGGTGTACTGTTCGCCTCGGCCTGGCGTCAAGTCGGGCCGTCCCTCCAGAGGGGGGATCTTCCAGAACAGTCCAAAGCAGTCTGGGGATTTTTGTTGTATGTTTGACCATGCCTGGGATCTGTTTTGAGTATTCTGAATCTGTCCTCCAAAATCCGCCCGTAGGGGGACATGCCCGACCCAAGCCCGGCGCATCCCCAGCAGATCCCAAGAGGCCAGCCCAGCTTCTGCCCCCTCTCCACGCGGTCGGGGCCGTGCGCTCGAAACGTGGCTCGGCATCTGCGCAATGCCAAGCTTCTTCGGTCAGCCGTCTCCCCAGGAGGGGGATGGGGAGCAGCAGCAGCACCGTCGCTTCAGTGGAGGAGCACCAGCAGGCGAGAAAATACCACAGTCATGATATACTGAGCTGTGGTAAACGCAGGGTCCTTCACGCGGTCGATGGAACGCCTGTGCCAATCTCCTCACTCGTCGCGGGGGAGGACAGCGAGGAGGAGGACGAGGACGAAAGGGAGGACCAGGAGTAAACGCAAGATGTATCAACCATGTTGTAACACACCCTCCCGTCCTGGTCCCCTCCTCGCACGTCCCTACAAGATTTCATTTTCACTCCAAGCAGCGCCCCCTTACAATACCAGCGCAGTTGGGCCTGACATTTTGGCGAGGGCCCCGCTTTGAACAGGAACTGGCTTGCACATAGTTAATCAGGAAAGCGGAAAACTAAGATCACATAGTTCAACGAGGTGTCCAGCGAGATCCCTTTGTCGAAGAAGGAACGCTCCGCCCATCCGCGTAACTCTTGCGTAAGTTCACATGTGTAGTCATGACGTCATGGCACAGGATGAAGTCTCATACGAGAGCTCCATTTTGAAAAGGAGCTGACCTGGATGCGTGCAGTGCCACCCGCCCGCCGCATCCCACCGCCCGCCACCGTCGCCGTCGGCAGCCCGCCGCCCGCCGCTGGTGCCGGCCGCAAGCCCGCCGCGAGTCCGCCCCGCGAGCCGCCGCCGCCGCCACGGCGCCCGCGCTGGGGCAGGCGCGACGAGGAGGCGTGGCGGGCGGCCGCCAAGCGGGCGCCCGCCAGAGGGGGCACGGCCCACTGGGACGCCGGCTCCGACGCCGAGCTGCCGATGGCGACCGACACGGAGCTCGGGCAGGAGCACTGGGGCCTGTGGCATGAAGAGGGCCGGCGCCCGGGAGAGGTGCGCTGAACAAACTTCACGCGCGCGCCTCCTCCTCCTCCTCCTCCTCCTCCTCCCTCCTCCTCCTCCCCTCCTCCTCCTCCTCCTCCTCCTCCTCCTCCTCCTCCTCCTCCTCCTCCTCCTCCTCCTCCTCCTCCTGCGGGTAAAGCACCCCGAAGGCAAGGGGGGTCCTGTGTGGTGTGCTGGCCACATGTTCCCGTAGCGTGGGAGCCGTGAGCCGTTTGCAGTTGTGTTTTCTTCTTTCAACGACACCCTGGGCACAGCGCAGGAAGGAAGGGGCTCGCTTGCGGCCAGCTCGGTCCGATTCGGTTCCGACGATCCGATGCGGCCCGATGCTTGCATGGCGCTGTTGTGCATCATGGCGCGGCCGATCGGAGTCGATTTCGACTTCGATGCATTTTCCGATCCAACGCGCGCTCCGATCCGATCCGATTTCCGACTTATCCTCGGCCGTTTTTCCGTGGCACCGAATCTGCCCCAGAAGGCACATCGAAGATCGAGTAGGTTCGGGACGTTTTTGGGCGTCCTTGGGAGTGCTGGGGGATTCGGGGGTCCAGAGACGTCCATTCCCTGAAGGAGCTGGCGACCCCCTGAGTCGTGGCCCCCTTGGCTTTCCCCATTGCCTGGGCCTCCTGACCCACGGGGTCGCCAGCTCCGACACTGGGTGGTTGCTGATGGTGGCTTCCGCAGAGCTCGGTGGCACAAAAATCGGAAAGGACGCGTTCTGTGGTGGACGCTGGGAACTGGGGATATTCGAACCGAGATGAAACGGATTACAACCGATTGGGGCGGATTCCAACCATTCTGGTACCAAGTCCAACCAAGTGGTACCAATTCCAACCGCCTTGGAAGCTCATTGGAGATTCCCTAGAGATTCCCTAGAGAAACCTAATCCTTAGGGCTTTCTTTGGGATGCCTAATGGATTCTTCTGGAAGTCCTACAAGTTTCCTCAGGGATTCCTCAGGACTCTTTAGGGAGTCCTCAGGGATTCCTGAGGGCTTCCGATGGAATTCCGAAAGGATGCTTCGGGATTTCTAGGGAATCCCCCAGGACTTCCTCAGGAGCCCCGATGGTGACGCTTTCAATAGAAATGGTTCGTGCCCTCGGGGGCTCGGGAAGCCCCCAGAACCATGGGGAGGGAGAGGGGGTCCGAACGGGTCACCATGCCTTCCGTGAGTTCCGATCGGAAACAGTTATCATATCAAATAATTTTGCGGGGGCTGGGCTCAACGCATTTTTCATTAGAGTACATTCGAAAACCAGATATAGCATTAAGAACTTGTTGCTGGAGTGCGGAATCGGCGCATGTCCTTTGGAATTCCCATTGAGCCTGGCGATGGACCCAACCATCTACAGTTGTGACTACCGCAGTTGTGGGTACCGTTTTCGGTGGAGCTCTCTATGGGCCACGAAACGTTTTACGGGGGGGGGGAGCCGCACGCGAACTTTACCACTGGGCCACGAAACGTTGTACTGGGGGGGGAAACGCATGCGGACGGTGCCAGTGGGGATTCGGTGTACCACCCTACGGGACCACGAAGCGCTGTACTGTGTGAGGGAGACGCACGCGAAGTTTGCACCGATGGCCTTCGGTGGAGCTCTTTATTGGGCCACGAAACGCTGTACTGTGTGAGGGAGACGCACGTGGACGGGGCCATTGAGGCCTTCGGTGGAGCTCCCCATGGGGCCACGAAGCGCTTTACTGGGTGGGGGAGACGCATGCGGACGGTGCCACGGGGACCTTCGGTGGAGCTCCCTATCCGTCACGGTCGTCCAGGGCATAGCAGGCGTGGCAGATTCTCGACACCGTAGCGGGTGTGCAGGGGGTGGTTTCTGAGCGCGGTCGTTATCCGTCACGGTCGCGAAGGGCATAGCAGGCGTAGGATGTTCTCGACACCGTAGGAGTTGCGCAAGGGGTGGTCCTTCAGCGCGGCCGTTATGCGCCCCAGTCGTCCAGGCCATAGCAGGCGTGGTATACCATCGACACCGTAGGGGGTGCGCAGGGTGTGTTTTTTGAGCGCGGCCGCTATCCGTCACGGTCGTCCAGGGCATAGCAGGCGTGGCAGATTCTCGACACCGTAGCGGGTGTGCAGGGGGTGGTTTCTGAGCGCGGCCGCTATCCGTCACGGTCGTCCAGGGCATAGCAGGCGTGGCATAGCGTCGACGTTGTAGGGGGTGCGCAAGGAATGGTATCTGAGCACCGCCGCTATCCGTCACGGTCGTCCAGGCCATAGCAGGCGTGGCAGATTTTTGACACCATAGGGGGTGCGCAGAGGGTGGTCTCTGAGCGCGGCCGCTCTCCGTCACGGTCGTCCAGGGCATAGCAAGCGTAGCATGTTCTCGACACCGTAGGAGTTGCGCAAGGGGTGGGCCCTCAGCGCGGCCGCTATGCGCCCCAGTCGTCCAGGGCATAGCATGCGTGGCATCATCATCATCATCATCATCATCATCATCATCATCATCATCATCATCATCATCATCATCATCATCATCATCATCATCATCATCTTCGTCATCGTCATCATCGTCAGCATCAGCATAAGCATCAGCATCAGCAGCATCATCATCAGCATCGTCGTCACCATCATCATGTTCATTATCATTCGCATCATTTTCATCAAAATCTGTAGCCACCCTGACTCGTGCCGGCTCAGACCGCTGGATATGTGAACGCGGGCGACCGCCGGTGATTTTCCGTCAAGGGACGGCCCCCGTCATGGCGCCCAAATGCGCCATGTCCGCGCTGCCACCGCCATGCGAGCAGCTTAAGCAATTAATGTTAGAGATGGGCGCCGAGATGAACCTTGATGGTTTGCGCGGATATGTCGTCAGGCATGGGACGTCTTGGTACAATGCGTACTACCGACAGCTGATGAACTGGTGGCCTGAGCCGCTATTTACCAAATACGAGGAGTTGCCGCGCAAACGAGGCGTTGACGATACAAGGAGACAGCGTTTGGTGAGGTACTTAGTGGACTCTTCTTCGGCCTCGGCGTCACCGACGGCATCGGCGGGGCAACGGACACCAGCATCATTCTCACATGTTTCATTTCAGCTATCATCATTCCAAACATATTATAAGTATGCGGTGTTCATCGGTAGCGAAATTCGCGGGTACGGGAATCTCCAAGCCCCTGGGCGCAGCGCGTCCAATGAAATCGTCGCAGATTTGGGGGGCCGGGAAACCCCTGCACCGGCGGGGAAGGAGGGGGGCCAAACGAGTCACCTTGCCCGCCGCTGCAGCCGCCAAGAAGTTTTCTGCGGGCGCGGGTTTCTCCAAGCCCCCGAAAGCGACGTTTCCAACGGAATCGCCGCGCGCCCTCGGAAGCGCGGGGCGCCCCCGAACCCACGGCGAGAGGAGGGGGACCAAACGGGTCATTTCCCCCCCGCTGCTGCCGCCGATTTGCTAGGCTCCAGCATCCTTTCCTGCGGGCGTTGGTTTCTCCGAGCCCCCGAGGGCGACGCTTTCAATGGGAGCGTTTTGCGCCCTCGGGGGTTCGGGGGGCCCCCGAGCACATAGGGGGGGACGATCGAGTCACCCTGCTTTCCGCCGCCGCCGCCGCCGAATCGCCCGGCCCCCGCCCCCCTCCCGGCGGGCGCGGGGTTCCCCGAGCCCCCGAGGGCGACGCTTCCAATGGAAGCGTTTTTTGCCCCCGGGCCCCAGAGGAATTGCGGGTGGGGGGGGGGGGGGGGCGAAACCACGGGGAGGGAGAGGCTGGCCGAACGAGTTACCTTGCCCTCCGCCGCCGCCGCCGCCGAATCGTTCGGCCCCCGCGCCCTTTCCCGCGGCGTGGGCTTCCCAGTCCAAAAGTCGAGTCTGGCGCACATTGAAGATTTTGAAATGTCGGCTGAAGGCACTGAAGGCTGTGGTCGGCGCATGTCCCATCAAGCCCCCAGTGAACCACGCATGGGGCGTTGCAGAATTATACGGAGGGGCTGGGATCCGCGAGTTTCTCATTACACCTATAGATTAGCGAATAAACTAGTGTAGAATGTTGCTGAATGTTGGCAACAGTTCGTTCTTATTTTTTGCGACAATGCAAATAGCCTTTTGGCTTCACTTGACATTTGAAGTGTTCAAATGTGCACGACGGGGTTTGCACTCGGAGCTTTTTGATATTATGATGAGTATTTACACGTCGTTTTGAGCAGCGTTATGCTCGCTGATGGAGCCCCCGCAGCTCTGACATGAGAGCCACGTGACGCAAAGTTGTTTCCCCAAACTGCCGTACGACAACCACTGGTTCCCATACGTCAACCGTAAAGCTCCAGCAATGTGACGACCACATTGTTAGTTTCAGCACAACTTTGCTCCCAGATGTCAGACAGCGAACCACTACAAATTCCAGCCGGGTGCTAATATTGTGTCCCAGAAAGAATGTAGATTCTGAAGACGTGCGTTGAGGTTTTCAATCGTAGCTTTAACGCTGTACAAATGAATCATACTGCGGCTCAAGATGGCTGGTTGTAATTGGTACCAGTTCGTCTTTCGACTTTTTGAGAAGCGGCCAAGCCAGTTGTATTTGGTGCCAGTCGGTTGGGTTTGGTCCGACAGGTTCGAACACCCCCCCAGTGGAAAGAACGGTGGGGACCCGGCTCGAACCCACCCATTCTTCGAGATGGGGTTGGCCCGGTTAGAAAGGCCAGAGTGAATCCCCCCGGCTTTCCAGGCGACACAAAAATTGTCTGGAAGGGTGAAGGAAACCCCCCAGTTCCGACGTGTCGCGGGATGTTTCCCAAGCAAGCGCCCACAAAACAGGCTCATTCAAAAATCGAGACGGCTGTTTTTTCCGCCATTTCGGCATACGGAGGCCGCTGCAGGGCCCCAGGAAATTCAAAAACAAATCAGGGTAAAAAGTTGACCTTGAGCAAGGTTGAGGGGGAGGAGGGGAAGGCAAAGCTCAATGACTCGAGCTGAGTGGCGACAGCTTGAACAGTCGATCCCGAGCCACGG